CAAGTATAGAGATTGGAAAGGTTATGTGAATTATCGGCGACTGAACACCATCACCGTCCCCGACAAGTATGTATTCCGCATCCCCAGCATTTCTCATCCTCGCTGTACGGAGAGTGTTCAGCAAGTTAGATTTAGTGCTGGCATACCACCAGATTTCCGACTATCCTCAAGATGTTCCTAAGACTGCCGTCACCACTCCCTTCAGTTTAGGTGAGTGCTTGCGAATGCCGTTTGGTCTTCGCAAAGCAGCTCAGACCTTCCAATGTTTTATGGAGCAGGTCATTCGCAAGCTAGGTTTCGTCTTTCTCTACCTGGAAGATCTGGGTTGCAAGTTGTAAGCATGACGACCAGTTGCTCCATCTGCAACAAATTATTGAACGATTTGAGCGTTATGGGGTAGTTATCAGCGCCGCCAAGAGTCAATTTGGAGTTGATATGTTAGACTTTCTTAGCCATCGTGTTTCCTCCGCCAGAAATACATCCCAATCTGAATAAGTGACAGTTATCACTACCCCATCCCTGATTACCCTAAAAAGCTACGCTGGTTTGTTTGCAAGTTTAAGTTTTACAAACAGTCATTGCGCAGTGTTCAGAGTTAGCCCAGCCACTTGCCGAGCTACTCAAATGGGATGCTAAATCATTCAGCTTTAACAACTCAGTAATCTAAAAGACCAGCTAGCAATTTCCACTCTCCTCGTGCATCCAGACCCTAACGACCCGTTACAGTTAACGGTGGATGCCTCAGACGCTACAATAGGTGGTGTTTTTCAACGGTGGCAGCGAGGTACCTTGTAGATGATTGCTTTATTCTTTAAGAAACTACAGCCTACCGAACGACGCTCTAGTACGTACAGCAGAGAACTCAATGCGCATCATTTAGGACAGTACTTGGATGGACGTACATTCACGGCATTTACCAATCATAAGCCGGTAACATATATACTGCTTTCGGCTTCTGATTGTCCTTTCCCATGACAAACTAGACGATTGGATTGCATTTCCCAATTTACCGCTGATTTAGGGCATTTGTCCGGCGCGAATAACGCCGGAGCGAATGCCTTGTCACTGGTGGAAATCAATATCTTATTTGAGATTTCCCCATTGATCGCCAGGAATTAGCCACAGCACAGCTTCAGGATAAGCACTTTCAACAACTTTAAGGATCGAATGCACAGGTGCAACCCATTCAGCTGCCTGATAGTTCGCATAGTTCCACCGACGTATCTTCGAGTCATTTTTGTTTCACTAATTGGTCCATCACTTACAGGCGTCGGGGTAACTCGCAAGCTCATTTCCGATCGTGTTGTGGAGCCAACACTGAACAATGACGTGCAGCACTTGGTGAGAAATTGTCTTCCATGTTAACGTTCAAAAGTGCAACGATATACATAGGCACCATCTGACATTTTCACCGCTCCTGATGCTCTTTTCAGTCACGTGCATATCGACACCATCGGTCTGCTACCGCTGTCGAATGGATATAAGTATTTACTGACTTGTATCGAGCGTTATACTCGTTGGCTCGTGGCAATACCTATCGCGGAAATTACTGCAGAAACAGTTACACACAACTTTGAGGCACACTGGATCGTGCATTAATGTCTACCACACACCATAACAACTGATCGCGGTGCGCAATTCGAGTCGACGCTCTTTCGAGAATTATATAATACTCTCGGAACCAAGCGAATAAGAACAACTGCGTACCACTCAACAGTGAACGGGTTAGGCGAAGGTTTCCATGGCCATCACAAAACATCTCTGATGGCCGTTCTTCGAACAACACCTAAAAGTGATTTAGGTTGCTCTGTCGCGGAGCTGTATACCCAACTACATTAAAGCTTCCTGCTGATCTGGTTCAACCAATCGACCCCAACGCTCTAGATCCTCCAAATTTTGTCCATCGCCTAAGTTCATATGTGGGTGAACTACATTTTAATGCCCCATGCGTACAAATAAACAGGGCTCATGTACCAAAAGAGCTGACAACTTGCACCCAAGTATGGCCACGTAATGATGAAGTCCGCAAGCCACTATGGCCACCGTGTGATGGGATTGTGCAAACAAGCGGCAAGCGTGCTGTATGCGAATAATGCAGTTGATTGGATGCCTGCGCATATTTCGGCTACGACGCGCTGATTAGTATCACTGAAGCCGAGTATTGTTTATAATGATATTCAAAGAAGAATCTCTCAATGACTGCAGCGCAAGCGGCATCCGTTAGTAGTCGATAAATCCTACGTGTGGTGGGACAGTTATTAATTATAATTATTATTTATTTATGATATATCATATAAAATCTATATTAAGAGGCCCTAGATAGCAATGCTCAGACCTTATTTTTGTGGCTGAGACTTCTGCAGTCTTTGCTGAATACTCAAATCTTATGTTCCTGAAGGGACCCGAATTTCTGCGACACGCCGGGGAAAACACCGTAGGAAGGGGGGCCGTTTTAGGGGAGATCGCTAGGAGGAGAACATATTGTCTGTACAGTATCAATGTGACGGGCGGAAAAACTGAATATGGTTTACTGACAGTACTGTCCATTAAGCCAGCGTAATTTCGAAGTGCAGAGATGTAATATGTACGCCAGGTCAACAAGGTCCTTAAAAACACAATAAGATATGGGCAGTGGTTAGCGATAGCTCGTTTGCAACAGCAACCCGACAACCATGGAACGTTATGTAATCGTTAATACGCCGATAGCCCTAACAGTTGATTGTACCTGAGGGCAGATAACGGTCAGGTAAGGAAAGCACCAAATTCTCTCATGACCCCTTAGTGTATTAGGAAGACCTGACAGTAGCTATCACATGATCACTTTGGCTGTACTATCTTCCCGCCAGTATTTTCTCTTCGTTTTAGTTTATGTTATGCCGAGCATCATGCCTAGAGTGCGAAAAGTGACGTCTATAGGCAAGATCAACGAGGTGGAAAAGGATATTGTGCAGGGCAATAGACAGTATGACGAGCCACCAAATCCGAATTAACCATCCATAGTTTGCTCCGCCAAATTGTTTTCCGGTATACCTTAGATACACAAATTTTTTAGCCAGAGGTGCAAACCCAGAACTCAGCCTCGGGGGCATTTCTTTTGTGACCCAGTTTACCAGGTAAGAAATGTACAGATTTCCCCCAGACTTTTCCCTACCGGGTTAAACTCCTGGTACAGCGTGGAACATACGTGCTTGCTTTAAGTATTGTAGAGCAACAATAATTTTTACACATACTAACTTCGATATATTTTGCTACACCCTCGGAACTGTGGATCAAGACCATACCCCTTGAGCCACCTGAGACCAATACCCGCCGAGTATTGTGACACATTATCTCACATAATGTGTGTGTGTCCACGATACCTCCAAACGATCGACGTACCATGATTCAGCAAATGTACACCAAGGTATAGCAACACCTAGCAGCCTTACTTCGCAGGTTTCTTGCTGTCCTTCTGTTATTAATTTGCGGGAGCATCAAAATACGAACGATATTAACTGCAACTACTTTTTTGCATCATTCAATAAAGATGGGGCATTATTTATGTATCCAGCAACTAAGAAGCGCTTCTACACCTTCTTTACAAGGGCCTCATATATGCTTGGAGGATTTAAGGTAGGATGGAGGGGACGAATATCCTCAATAACCCCCGTAAGAGACCATAATGTTAGCTCGGGTTTTGAACGACTACAACGACTGCGCCGAACAGCCGGGGTTGTGTTACATCACCATCACCAGGCCGAGCTCAATTGAGGCGGTCTTCAGCATGTAGTCTCCAAACATATGTGCGTCAGTGGGATTGGGAGTGCATGTGTATGTTTAAGCTTGTGCCCATTAAATGGATGAAGATTTGCGTTTGGCTGGCTAACCGAACAACCTTCTCGTGGTAGCAGCTGAGTGCTTCGGGAGTAACCCGTTCCAGAAAACAGTTCGGCGGCAGTGTTCCAGGACGTGATGGGTTTTCGTCTGGCAAGCGTTCTCCCTATAAAAAGCCACAAATGTCCGTTTATCAACATTGTGATTTGGCACATGTGACTCACCACTGTCCCATGGATATCTGGATAAGTACATCCATTCCACGGACATCAACGGTTTATTCTTACATAGCCGACGCTGTCAAACAGTGACAAATACAACGGCACATCTAAAACACAAGCTAACTAGTTACACCTATGCACAGTTACATGTACATTCATGCATACATTTATTGTTCTAACAAGTATATTGTATTCTTGTATGTTTTTTGTCACACTATTATCATAACATGATCATGCCAGCAAAGGCCTGTCACCCTTGAAAATCGTGGTAATTTTACCCTGTTTTACGCACTATGGATCATTCAAAATCGGTTTTGACACCGATTTGATCAACCTTTTGTGACACAACCATCTTTGACGCCAAATGTCACCCTGTCAAAAGGCTAGTCTTTATACCCAAAAGTCACTCATTTGCGTCCGTATAACTTCAGTTGGCCTAACATACTTTGGCCGGATAGCAAAGGACCCACTGCTTCTCATTCCCCAACCACCACCAACAACGTCAACGGAGTCTTAGCTACTGATAAACTAGCTGCCTCATGTCATTCTTTGTTTGACAGAAACACAGTTCTTTCCTATCAGTCACTCGACTTGCACCTAGAAAGTTGTCACCTATTAAAGAGCAGCACTTGCAAAGTTCTGAAAGAGAAAGGTTATAACTGCTTCCGTTTATCGATTTTAATCTCTTATGAAATTTACGTGATTCCCTATTAATCACCTTAGACCTGCATTCAGATGTAATTTATGCACGTAGCTGTAATCAAACTATGCCGAGTTTTAGGGTAGTTTTAGATCGAGCCCTTCAGATCACTTGGATTATCGAGCCCTTCGGATCACTTGGATCCCTGAACAGGAAAAGGACACTTTGGAACAGAGGTGGCTTCTACTTAAAAGTGGACTTGTACAGCTGCTGAACGAATTTGCTCCTCTTCGTCCCAGGAGACATCTTGGGAAACCCCGATGGTAGAGAAGAAACATTGATAGAGCGATAAAGAGGCACAATGCTGAGTGGAGAAACTATCAAGAAACTCGGGGCTTCCGACGTTGGCTGCAATACAAAAGGTGTCGAAACATGGCTATTAAGTTACAGCGGCAGGCGAAGTACTCATATGAGCTTAGGTTGGCCAAATTTGCGAAAACTAATTCCAAGTGTTATTACAGTTATGTCCAGTCAAAGGCTTCTTTAAGAGAGGTGGTCGGCTGTCTAACCATGGAGGACGGTACCCAGGCTGTAGACGACGTTGATAAAGTAGAAGCGCTGCTACGTGTCTACCAAAACCTGCATCGGAAGGATAGTGGGTCAGCCTTGCCATCACAGCCGCACTGCTCAACTAGCTACACAATGCGGGAAATTATTCTCAATGTGTCAGAGGTCTTCACAGTGCTGGCCAGTTTGAACCCTTATAAATCAGCTGGTCCTGATAGCGTACATCCCGCCATAGTTAAGCCTCTGGCTGATATCCTTCAGTATCCCGTAGCGGAGTTATTCAACCAGTCTCTTCAAGAAGGCAAGCTGCCACGTGATTGGAAGGAGGCGACTATTGTTGCCATCCACAAGGGGGGTTCTAAGTCGGTGCCTCTTAACTATAGACCTGTTAGTTTGACCAGCATCATGCTGAAATGCTTGGAAAAGCTTATAAGGAACAGGATCTGTGAGCACTTGACTGAGCACAATCTAATTAGAGCGGAACAGCATGGCTTTCTTAAAAAGAAGTCTTGTCTTACCAATTTATTGTGCTTTTTAGACGAGATTACCCGTTGTCTTGATGGTGGGATATCGGTAGAGGTGTGCTATTTGGACTTCAGTAAAGCCTTTGACTCAGTGAATCATCGATTTTTAATTGAGAAGCTGACATGGTTTGGATTGCATCCTCAACTATTACTATGGCTCTCTGAATTCTTACGTGGAAGGACATTCAGAGTCAGGGTTGGGGAAGCGAGTTCTAGTGTTGGCCATGCCTACAGCGGTGTCCCCCAAGGTTCGGTACTGGGTCCATTGCTGTTTCTTATGTTTATAAATGACCTGGCTCCTCTTCTTGAGGATCCCTGCTACATCTTCGCAGATGACTTGAAGCTAGTCAGTAGGGGAAACCGAGCGACATTGGCTAAGGACATCATCACTGTGGTGAATTGGTCAAGCCAATGGGACCTACCTCTAAATGCCAACAAATGTCAACTATTGACTAGTAGTGGTAGCGGAATTGCAGTTCAGTCTCCTGTGGGATCTCTATCATTGCGGTGTACTGACGAAGCCCGTGATCTAGGTGTCATCGTAGCGAACAATTTTAAGCCTTCGGCACAGTGTCGCCATGCTGCCAATAAAGCACGACACGAGTTATTTCGTCTTAGGAGGGCGCTGAGTAACACTAAAGCAGAAGTATTCTTGCCGTTATATAAAGCAGTGGTTAGGCCACATCTGGAGTATTGTGTTCAGGCCTGGTCACCGTACCTCCGGAGTGACATCATTTGTATAGAAAAGATTCAGAAACTTGCGACCAGGATGATTGAAGGTCAACGAGGGAAGTCTTACGAAGATCGTCTAAGTAGCTTAGGATTATTTTCCTTGGAACGGCGTAGGTTGAGAGGGGATTTGATAGAGACGTTTAAGATCATTAAGGGACTTAGTGGTATTAGTTCCACCCATCTGTTTGAGTTGGCTATGTCAGACCATCTGCGCGGGCATCGCCTGAAGCTCAAACATCACAGAGCTCGTTTGGACATCAGGGCAAAGTTTTTACGAACCGAGTAGTTAACTTCTGGAATAAACTTCCTTCTGATTTAGTGGAGTCTGAGACCGTAGAAGCCTTCAAAAGGGGCTTAGACGATTGTTGGTCCATCCTTTTTCCAGAGGTATTGTAGTTGTACTGGAATATGTAGTGTATTTTGATGCTGGCATATGAAAGTGCAAAGATTGCTCTTGTTCTTGCTTCATTCCATTGCAGAAGCAAGAAGAGACAATCCAACGTCGAAGTGCCGGGGGCCGCTTCACTTACCGGCACAAGAACTGGACGCTCGTTAGGCGGAAGCCTCTATCGTCCGTCTGACCTGACCTGACCTGAGAACCCGACTTATTTACAAATGTCCGAAACTAGTTGTTGTTGCACCGTCACCGTTGGTAATGATTTGATTTGTTGTATTAGCAGTTGCTCTGCTCAGACAAAATTCAGTGATCAATCCCAAGGGGAGATTTCAGCTTAAGAATACTCGGTTCGCTTCAAATGTGAACCCAGTATATAACCTGGTGTGGGCATTACTAACTGAGAGAAGCTGCATAGGGTGTAACCGTTTCAGGTAGAATTTATTTAAGGGAAGCAGAGACGTTTACGAATAGCTCCATGTTATCTTCAATTTAGACGGACTCGTCAGTTTGTCTCCTTAACCCTAATCCGTTAAAGAGACGACCATCGTGACTGCGTGATTGTCTAGTTAGCTGAGTGACTTGTAGCCAAAAGTTAGTAGACTCAAAACAGTTTAACACCAAACAAACATCTAACGTTATATCTTAGCCAACTAGGCATGCCCAGGTGATTATGCGTTCACCAGTCAGGCGTAATTGGTTCATTTCCTCTTGCGCTGGGGACAATATCGGTGGTATCAATCCGGTACTAAGAGCCGTCAATTATTGAGACCGGATGCATTTATTAGCTTCTACAGTTTATTTACCTTAATTTAGGATGGACGCAATTGCAAATCTCTTTGATGCGCCATCACTGAACTGGGTCTACATCGTCTCATTCACAAGCCTTATGTGACCAATCCAGATGATTTGCATAAATGAGGTGAGATCTTGTCATTGGTAAATATATGATCGGAGGACAGTCGAAACGGATACTGAAGTGGTTAAAATTGGTCATGACGTCCTGGATGTTCCTCTATCCTGTGATTTGTGTTATAACCTCCTGTATTTAAACGGAATGTTTCTTTCCACTGCTATTTGAGATTTAGTGGAATAATGTTCAACCAAACAGAGTGGTGCAGTGTCCACTCAAATTTTCATCAGTTCAGCCCTCTCTCATGCGGAGCAATTATTGGTACAGCCACAGTGAAGTAAATTAATTGAGACTTCAGAAAGGTTTGAAGGCAATCGGTTGATATAGTTTGTGGGCAACGCTTCGCTTTGGACACCAAAGCTCCCTCAGGCCGAGTGAACCAGTCGGGGATTGGCATAGCACTAATAGCGAACTGGGATGATAATCGCGACGAATTGGATGTAGGCAGAATTTCAATCACGTTCCAGGTCAACGCATCACTTCAACTGGTGCATGGAACGGTCACAAGTGGTCCACGTTACAAGGTCATACAAGTAAGCCCAGTTAACGAGGGGGGCGGGGATGATGTGGTGTTCATTCTCTGGCCTGGATCCGTCCGCCGGCGCCCCCCAGACTGATCGGGTTAAGACAGCTCGCCACACGCTGGAATGCTCTGCCCCATCCATACTGTACACGCAGCTGTTCACCTTACTGATCTCAACGGCCTAAGCGGTCAGCCTTTGGGGATTTGATCGCAATGCCTTTCTAACGATTTTGACGTTCTTTTGGGATCCTAACGGCTGATGTGTTTGTGAAGCTCTTCTCAACGTTCGTGCGACCCCACCTAGGATATTGCGTCCAGGCTTGTCCACCATGTCTTGTCCGGGAGAAAATGGCACTAGAAAGGGTGTTGCGTGTCGGTACTAGGTTGGTCAAGGGATTACGAGGTCAAAGGTACCCCGAGCGCCTAATTAGCTTGGAGATGCAGTCAATGCACTATCGAAGGATTAGAGGGGACCTAATGCTAACCTACCGTATTTTGACTGGGAAGGTTTACCCTGATTTGTCCATGCTATTTAGTCCTGCTAGACTATCTGGTCTCCGCGGGCATTGTATGAAGCTGAACAAACCGCGGTCCGATCGAGTTAGAGCGGAAACACGGTTATCAAGTCTTCATCGAGCGCTGGGACCTGCTTCTAGAAAATGTTGTCAAGGAAGCAACGGTTAAGGGGTTTTGAGCGTCAACTAGACGCTCTTGGGTGGCAACACGAAACCTTTCCTTTTTCCTGACTAATTCCCCTTTTCATACTTCGATCCTATTTTCTGTACTTTTCCTCGCCATTGGTATTATTCTCTTCTTTTATCGGGTTTCCCCTACTCTCTTACTTTCGTTTTTTCTTCCTCTCTTACTTACTTCAAGTAACTGGCGTATCTGGGACAGCTAATGTAAGGAACGTGGGAATTAAATTGGTGGGTCAGGGTGTTTTTTCGGGTGTTTTTCTTTTAGACCAGTCAAGAAGTCGGAGCACCTCTATAAAATCCTGGATCGACGACCGGCTCAAGAAGGAATACTTACGGGATTCATCCTATCGTTCCAGTCCCACTTGAACTTGAACTCGAACTTGACGTTATTCAGGTCGATCTCATGAGCTGTATCCATCGCGTGCATCGCTACTGCACAACTCCTTATTAGAACCCTATATCCAAGCTCGTTTCTCAGTGGCCGTGTTATGCATCTCTTATGTTCTATCCTTGTGCGTAGCTCTCTCGCGGTTTGGCCGATGTACACGTGTGTGCAGTCTTTGCAACTAATTTTGTAGACGTAACTGGTTGTCCTATCTGCGGGAAGTAGGTCTTTCAAGTGCACCAATGTGGATCGGAACGATTTGCCTTAAAGAAAAATTGCTCATGTGTTTTCTTTATTTAGGATCCTCCGGATGACCTCCGCAGGTACATTGTTATAAGGAATACTTATTGTCCCAATCCACTCCGTAGTTTGCCGTGGGAGAGGATCTAAAATTCTCTGCAACTGGCGTTTCACTACCCGCCTCGGAGATCCACTACCAAACAATAGGTTCATTGCTTCTTTCCTGGTAGTCTTCCTATCTTCTTCCTCTGTGCACAAGGTCTGGGATTTGTGAAACAGAGATAAGGCGATTCCAGTATACACTTGCTTTGGGTGACATGAACTGTAGTGGAGTACACCATCTGTCTCCGTAGGCTTACGATATGTCGTTGTTTTCATACTACCCGCATTTCTGTGAACTAAACAGTCAAGGAATGGCAGTGCTGGCCATCTAAATGTAAGATTCGATTTCAAGGCTGACCGGTGCCTGTGCCTGCACTCACTTGATGGTGAAACGCTGGAAGTTGTGGAGAGCTTTCTCTACTTGGGAAGTTGCATTACTGCTGGCGGGGCTGTTGGAGACGAGATTGGGATACGCATCTCAAAAACACACGGCGCTTCTTATAGACTAAGGCACTTGTGGTGTCGCAACGACATTCGTCTCTACATCAATGAGCGGGTCTATTGTTCAACTATTCGTGCTGCATTGTTGTACGGATTGGAGAATTGGCCTATTCGTACCGTTGACTTTTGCAGACCATCCGTCTTCAAGCATCGCTGTCTACGGTTCATCGCCCGCGTGTGGTGGCGCCGCCAAGTAAGCAATGTGGCAGTTAAACAGTGTGTTTTGTGACGAGGAAGCCACCACTTCGAGAAGGTCGTCTCACTGCATCAATTTCGGTGATATGGGCACGTATTGCGCTTGCATGTTTAGCGTTACCTGCGTCGTGCGTTGCATTTGGTTGCTGGACAGGGCTGGAAGAGACGATCTGGGGACAGCTTACAACTTGCAGAAACAGCATGAAAAAGCTGACGAAACCGTTGGATTCGACCGGTGGTTTTCCACTGCCAGGTTGGGGTCCGAGAGTTGCGGATAGTTTCTAATTGGAGACCATGGAAGCCATAACTCAAGCTTGACGTCAATGGCGGATGGGTGAATCGGTATGTTGCAGTGAAGCACTTTCTCTCATCAAAATATTTGAAAACAATTCAAAACTGAGTAGCAAACTGAACAAAATGATTGCTGTTGTTTGTTTGTTCGTTTTTCCTAATTATTCATACCGGTTACCTATTCCGCCATGATTACGACGGCACAACATCTGTACCACAGGTTGTGTTCAATATATTAGGTTGGCGGCATCCGGTTGCGGATTTGCATGTCACTGTGGCCAGCCACTGGACGCCTGCGCCTACAGAGGGATAATGGGTGGCTTGTGCTGCACCACCCACAGCTCCATCCACACACCCCATATCCAGTGTAAACCCGAAGGAATAAGACCGGGAGGCAGGTGGATGGGAGCCACGTTTCATCAACGGAGCCGGCCCACACTCCTTCAAAGACAAACACAAGCACGCTGTATTTGGGAACCAAGCGCACAAAAGGCGGTGGCTGGAACGTAGTCCGCTCCACACTGAGTGCATGGAACCACTCTTTGATCCTAACACGGCCACAAGGACCGTGCATCCTGTCCCCTCCAGCAACGACCAACTGTCTCCTGGAGCCAATATTGACGAGGTAGTGGGTAATAGACAGGTAGACACCTTGTCAACATGCACATCAAGCGCAGCCACACCGGGGATGTCAAACAACAGCCAATCACTTGAAATGACATTGTGAAATAAAATATATATGTTAAAGAATGCGGCTATGTTTCCCTAAATTAGCCTATGATGTAAGTTGGTTAGCAAGGAATCTGCGATAAGTAAATAATGTCCAGCAGTTACCCAAAAATGTTAACAAAAATAACCACGATTAACGTAAGCAGAGTGGCCAGTTAATAGAAGATTACTCAGGTAGGCGGAACAAACTAAATCAAGTGGAAGGAAATTTATCCAGCTTAAAAAGATCTAGTATAGGTGTTAGTTGGTTTAGCCCAACTGCAGTGAAGAAGCATCAGAAATGCAACATCCGCCTCAACATGGGGCATATATATATATATATATATATATATATATATATATATATATATATATATATATATATATATATATATATATATATATATATATATATATATATATATATATATATATATATATATATATATATATATATATATATATATATATATATATATATATATATATATATATATATATATATATATATATATATATATATATATATATATATATATATATATATATGGTTGGCGGCATCCGGTTTCGGATTTGCCTGTCACTGTGGCAAGCCACAGGACGCCTGCGCCTACAGAGGGACCA